ATAGTATATGCAATTATTAAATGAAAAATTCATTTTCGTATGTAAAATAAGGCGGAGTTATCTTTCGAAACAGCCTCTAATCTATTGAAATGAGAGGGAAAATAGAATGTAGAAAATTCGGTACATAAATTTAATGACAATTTTTCGCAGCTGAAATGAACTTTACAACCGAACTTTAAACACAAGTGAACAGATAGACACGTTGTCAATATGTTTGTGAGACAAAAAGACAAAAGATAATAAAGATTAAAATTATGACAATTATATGCAAATCTCTGTGAAATTGTAGTAGTCATACACGCGAAGTAGATAACTTGTAAATTTGTATGTGTGGAAATTAAATTGAAATTAGACAAACATGCCCAATGATCTAAACTTTAAAAGTTTAAGGTTTTATATTCATTAACATTTCACGCGGCGAAATGACGTATAATGAAGAAAATAGACAGTGATATATGTAAAACAATAAAAACAAGAACTATAAAACGCTTCATTGATATCGTTATCAAAAACGCCAAAAATTACAAATTTGGTGTTGGCGGCATTGAAAGTGTACAGGCAAAGTGCTATGGACGATAAAACTAAGAATAAATGACGTGTAAAGAACATAAAATGTTTAACGATAAAACGCTCACTTGCCGCCTGAATAGAACTTAAACACCTATATGCATTCATATATTGTTTGTATGTATTATGAACGGGAATTTTCGTAAACAACAAATATTTAAGATAATAAATACAAATTAAAAATCAAATATATTTAAAATAATTTAAATACTTAAAAAAATATATAAATTAAATTAAATTGAAATGGAGCGATAAATAAATAAATAAAAGAAATCAAATGAAGTGGTAATTAGCGGAACAAAAGGTTTGTTTATTGAGCTGCTCTAGATTACGCCAGGTTACTTTATTTCAAAAAAATCTGATTTATGAAAACCTTTTTGCTCTACCTTTTGTTTTCTAAATCCGCTCTAAGTAGAAACCGGGCAACTTAGAACACGATTTTCCGCTATGACTTTTTTGGTTGAATAACTTGGAGCAAGCAATAATTTTTTTTTGACCGTCTCGATTAGAAAACGAGTTTAGTAATAAATATATAAAAAAAACTTTAAATTTTTAATTTTTGTTTTACATGGGAATGCCAAACATTCGCATTTGAAAATTGTTGCCCGGAAAAAAATGGTTTCATGAGTTTTTTGATCCGAGTTGCTCAAATTTGCTCTATTATTTTTTAGGCAGCTGCTCTGTTCTATTCTATATTTAGTGTCGATAAGCAAACCTCAAATAAATAAAATTAAATAAATAAACATTAACTGAATTGGAAAAAATATAACAAAACCAAAAAATAGAAATAAAATAAAACAAATTGGAAAGGCTAATGGAGGGGAATAAAATTCATTAAAATAAAATAAAATCAAACTAAAAAATATTAAAAAAAATATTAATTAATTAAACGAAAATAAATAAAATAAATTTAAATAAAATTTAATTAAATAAAGCTATAAATCGCTATAAATAATACAAAAAAAAAATAAAATTTAATAAAAGTAATAGAATAAAATAAAATCTAATACTAATAAATACATAAAAACAAAATTAAGCAAAATCGTGTACCCATTAATAAGTTAAAATAAAATACATTTAATTTAAATATAAAAAAAAATAAAATATAATAAAAAACAGTTGTTTGTTCAAAAAAATGGCAATAAACGCACATTTTGTTAAACAGAAATACACATTTTTTAAAATTTGATTTTAGAGCACTAATGTATATAAAAGAATTACTATAAATATATATCTTTAGTATTCAATAATTTTAGTGAAGACATTTTCTGCTCAATGTTCGTAAATTCGATTCACGCAACATTTTGAGTCCAGCACTTGAAAATTCTATTGTAAAAGTTCATAGGGAGCTTTAAAACAGGTTATGCCACGAGAAAAAATTATTGAGAGTGAAATAGCGCGGCGCATGTGTAAAGCCACTCACATAAGAAATGAATACAAATAAGCAAGTAATTTTGTTTTGCCATAGTAGAATGCTCTAAGTTTCCTATTTCAGAAGTTCGGAATGTTTATTACTATGTATAAATATGCACAAGTAGTATCAAACATATAATTTATGCGCCATTTGACTTTCTATAAAACCTAATAAATATATGAACAGAGATTAGCGCCGTTATATGGGTCGCTACTGCTAGCGCATAGTTTATATAAGTATACACGTATGTTTATGTGCACATAAAATGTTTTTATTCATAGCTATGACGTTTTATTTTGGAGATATTCGCAAAGATTTTTGGTGTTTAACGACTTCGGCATTAACTTCCCATTTTCTGTTTTGCTGTAGCAAAAAGCATTTGGCACTTTTTGCATGTTAAATCTATGTACTTATGAATATTACTTGGCTATTATTTTTAGAAATTATTTGCACTTGTTTTTTCGTTTGTGCTTTTCCTACTTTTTTTCTTTATTTTCTTATCATTTTTTTTTTAATTTTTTTTTTTGTGTGTAAACAAATTGTGTATTCAAAGTAATTTTTTGTGGTTTGGCTTTATGATTTGCAAGGCAGCAATCGAGTAATGCGAAGCATTTTTTCGTTGTTTACTTAAATTTATTAGATATCGTTTATTGGGTATTTTTCTGTGGAAAGTGAAATAAGAACATATGAAAATTTGAGACACGCATAGACTTTGCGCTCAGAAAAAAAAATAGAATTTGTAAGTGTTGTGGTAAATAAAAAAAAAGAATTATTTTAACATTATGAAGTCATATAAAATATGCATATATTTTACATAACGTTTGCTTTTAATTTGCTAGGGAATTTCAATTGATTTTATTACTCTCTTGACACATAAAATACGTTTATGCTATAATTGCCGCGAATCGCCAATTAAATTGCATTTATTTCACTATAAAATTACTTTGTCTACTTCGACTCGTTCACGGTATGCGAGCGAACAGTGAATTGCAAGTTAAATTTGTTCCGCATGCCTTTGGTGCGGGGGGTTTGTTTGGTAGGCCCACCTTATAGGGCATGTTTTCCCACACGTCTATATGTCGCTATTTATACGCTATTGTTCACTTTCAGTTGTACGTAGCTTATATTATATTTTTAGCGCTGTTACGAGTATTTGGAGAACTCACTCAATTCTCTGCAGGGCACTGACTTGATTTGCGCTCTTTCTCGTTTTGCACTGCGAGTGTGACTCATGTACGGTAATATTGTGAGTTTGCTGTGTTTCGGAATTGCAACATACAATTTGCCCGCCGAAATGTGCGCTGCAGTGGATTGTTTTCGTTTAAAATGTTTTTTTTTTTAATGAGAAGACATAGTTTTTTTTATTTATTTATTTGTTATTGAGAGGGCATAGAGTTAAGATACGGAAGTTGTATAATTTAATCCTTTACACAAAAAAAGGTAATTCCACTAATTTTTTTTTTGATTTATTAACTATCTGATATAAATTGATTGAACAAAAGTCTTTAAGCTTTATTTTTTTTGCCATCAATTCTGTTTTTTTTTTAATAAATTTTTAAATTTCTTTTTATATTATAAAATTATAAAATAAGCAAAACATATTATTGTAAACGAAAAATTAATAAAAGTGAAATATATACACAAATCAATCAAATGCTTTGCATATTATATTTTGTAGCCTAATGGCCGAAAATCGCTTCAGCTGTTACAAAGCGTTAATTAAATTTAATAAATTTATTTTTAAATGGCTCTGCATTTTTTTATGAAAAAAATATATTATATAATAAATATTTTCAATATATTAATATTTTCAACTTGAAACGAAAACAAAAAATGATGACTAAAACTAATTTAGTGTCAATTTCGCATTGAGTGAAGCTAGCTTCTTTATTTTCGTATCAGGTTAAGCTAATTTATTAGAAAATAAAAATATTTTTTTGTGCGCATTTATATTAATTTTTTTACATATTTCGTTTTGAATTTAATAATAATAATATTTTTATTATTTTTCCAAATCTTGATTCCCATCTGTAATGTTTCATTTTTTTTGTTCAAATTATCTTTTTATTCGTCACTCTGATTCCACTGTTCAACTTCAACCACACACACACGCTCACATTGCCGGATATTCAATATATTTGCAGTCTATCGCGGCCATAAGAGCATTTAATATGTATAACGATATCTAATTGCAACTGCAACTTATCCGTCTAAAAGAATTAATAATTCAAGAAAGTAGTCAGCAGAAGTAGAACACTGTTCAACGTAAATATTTAAAACACTACACATAGTTTATTGCAAAAAAAAAAAAAATATATATGTATAGTCATAAATTCGTCAGCGAAAATCAATATAAAACACAATCACGACTCAAATTAAAATATGACGCGCCACTCGCGACATGAAAACAGCGGCAAACAGGCATGAGCGGAAGGGGGTACATCGAAAGAAGTAAATGGAGCTAGAATGTACAACAAAGTACCCACTGACCAAAAATCGCATGTTTCGCAAAACATGCAAGATATATGTATGTATGTATGTATGGATAAAACTTTGTTATAACAAACTTCACTTCGAAGCCGACAATTGTATATACATACATACATATGTACAGAATAATAATAAAAAAAATCACGCGGTACACATTTTAAACACATAAAAGAGATTTGCAATCAATTTTGAAATTTTTGTTTACTTTTGAATTGATTTGCATTTATTGTTAATTTCACATTTAAGCACTCAACCATCAGTACACTGAAAACCAGACAACTGCGGCTGTATTTACATACATATGTATGTACATAACTGTGTGTGTAAACTTATCCGCAAACAAGTTGGAATAAATATATGAGTTTGCCTCAGCAAAGTGGAAAAAAGCTAGAAACAAGAAATTAGAAACTGAAGTTAATCCAATACAAAAATCCAGGTAGACAATCCAATCTGTTGTGCTCGGAGTGTGAGTGAACAGTTAAAAAGTCGCAAAAAGTAAATGAAAACGCAAATACAAAAACATACGCACACATACACACCAACACTCACGTGCTAGTCACTGCAGCGGCTCTCTGCCTTTATGATTCTGTAAGTTTATGTGTATGTATGTAGATAGCAAAGGAAACAAATGTCAGAGGCAGAAGAAACGTAGATTGAATGCAATATTTGCAGTTGTCATTATTCTATGCATATTTGTATATTTGTATCTTGCCGCTTTACATTGCCCTTTGTGGGAATTGCAGACGTTCGCGTTGTTGCTGTTGTTGCTGTTGTTTATTCTCTAGCAGAGCATGTTTTTGTGCGCTGCTTCTTCGTCACTTTTTATATGTAATACTTCTTATTAGGTATATTTTGTTGTTGTTGAATTAAACACTTTTCGCGCACTCATTCAAGCACATCACTTTATTTTTCGAATTAATTTTGCTTTAGCAGCTTTCATATTTATTTTGAAAAAAAAATGAAACACAATTAACAACTGAATGCCAACGACGCGTCGCCGACAGCGAAACACACGCAAACACTATGCGAAAAATTCAATTCCCAAACACTTTGTCCGACCAACCGCTACTCGCATCCGCACTCGATTGGCAACGCCAGCTGACTGACTAGTCGGCATTTGTGAGCTATTGCGGAAGGCTGCTTTTGGAGCGTTTAACCCGTGAATGGCGTGAGTTTTAGTGAAGAAACAATTTGCGGAAATGAATATTTTAAGTTTTGCGTTTGTGAATATATATATATATAGATATATATATATATATATATACATTTGTTATAATTATTTTATTTTTATTAAATATTTGGTTTTTGATATTATATATTTAAAGAAAAAAAATTTTTTTTTTCTATTTGGCGAATAGCAATATAACAAAGGAAAATATTTATTTCTCAATATCTGTTCCCTTTAAATTGATATCATCAAGTCAAATATACTTAATATAATAAATTTAAGTAGTATTTTCACAAATGTTCGAGAAAATATTAATTATTAAATTTAACAAAAAGCAGTCTCATTGAATGAAGTTTCATCATAAAAACATCCCAGTATTTGCCATCTGGCAACTGACAGCTTTATCATTAAGTTTGACATTTCTGCTGTCATATATACTCAGAACGTATTGACATATGAGCCATCTTTGTGTTGCTTACAAAAACTTAAAATATTTATCTCAGTCAAAAAAATGGAATTGAAAGGCTAATAGTTTCGCGTGCTCTTTTTTACAGCTTTCGACTCAGCAACACTGTTTTTGTTCTTTAATCCCAAAATATAAAAGGCAACCCTCGCACAATATTAAAAATCAAATCAATAATATTTACATTTTATATATTTTAATATTCATTTAATTATTTATTTTCAATTTTATCAATTTTACGCAAGCAATATTAGATTATAATTAAAATATGAATAAAAAAAATTTGTTTGTATAATATTTATTCTATAAAAATATAAAATACTAAGAAAATCAGGCGTTTCAGTCTTTGTTTGACATATTACACACACTTAAGTAGTCGACTATGTATGCAATCTCTCGAAGAAAAATTTTTTTATAATCCAAATTTCATAAAAGAGCGCACATATCATAATTTGGGACTTCCTGCCACCCCATTTAGTACCGAAAGGAACGTGATTTTGTTTTACACACACACTTTTCGATTTTTATTATACTACATATGCATTAAAAAATAATTTGTTTCAAATTAATCATACAATAAGAAGGAATCTGCTAATAAATCGTCCGACTTAATACATGCTAAGCAAGAGTAAATAAATCATTTATTACGTGCCATCTTTAATATAAAATATAAACTACGCAGCTTTGCTCTTATCTCCTTCCCCTGGTTACGCGGCTCTAGCGTAAGATTCAAACTGACCACTGTTCCCTCTAGGCCGCGCTACGGGATTTATGAATGCTTCCTAAGTTCTTGGCACATCTTTTAATAATTCATCAACAAGCTGATAATACTTTCGTCATTTCCTATTTGGTATTCAAATTGTCATATTGGTCAACTATCTGCCGCTGGATGGCGCTGTACGAAAGGGAAGTTGCTATTAAATTCAAAATGGCATTAATGCTTAAAGTGAGTGTGTAGTTGGCAACGCGATAATTCTTAGCACAGGCATTCTCCTTTATTTTGTTGAAGATTTTGATATAATTAAATTTGTTTCAAAACCTGTTGAAAATTTCAAATTTGTATTTAATTAAAAATTTTGTATTATTTTCATCTATTCAGCTTTTGAAGAAATATATTAAAGAAGTCACACAATAAGTTGAGTTGAGTGGAGAAGTGTTACTTTATAAACACAATGTACTATGAACGTCAGTGACTAGTTCCCTTTCCTCGTTTCGAAAGAAAAAAACTCAGGTATTAAAACATTCTGCAGGGCGCCTCATTTCTCCGTAGATCCTTTCTCATGTTGGTTATCCCCTTAAATTATTCATATTCATGCCTTTCAGTCTCTCCCTTTTGCTGACTGCAAACGCATCTCGCTCCCTCTTCCGCTCTTGGTATAACTCCCATATCGTTCGCAGTACTAGTTCTTATTCTGATTCTGCCGGAAACCAATACCTTCAGCAACTGTAAGTAAGGAGCCTGAAATGACGTTCTACAGTTCTTTTATGAGTGAGTGGTTTTGCGTTCTTCGCTATAGAAAGGCGAATACGTATTTAAATTGTAATGAGATATGGATCCGAGTCGATGTTATTGACCTTGGAAGGCAGGCACGGATACACATCTTTCATCTATCTTAACATGTTCGATCTGGTGTCGAGGTTTTGATCCGCTGATATCAAAACATACACTTTTCTTCAGGGAAAAAGTGGGCCAAATTGACTCAGTTGGTTATTTTTATAAATTTGAAAAATACTCCCGATACAAACCTTACAATTAACTACAAATATGTGTGTCAATTTGCAAAATCATCCATCGTCTGATGTATTTTAACGTCGGTTATTAGAAGTGGAGAACGGCAAAATCCTACTTGATCGGACTTGCGGAGGGTACGCACATTACCCGATAACTTATGTAATTCAGTAATTAAAAGAAGAAATGAATCGTGGATATCAAAATAACAAATCAAAATTCCCAATTCAATTCAATTATAAGGTTCATGGTTTTGAACAAGAGACCGACCTATTCGAAAAAACCGTATTGATTATTATTTTCACTTGAAGTCCATTTTTTACGAGAAGAGGATCGATCTATTTGAAATAATATACCCATTCCAGGTTCCTTTCAATGCTGGATGCTTGCTTTTGTTTTTTGTTCGATTTGCTCGAAATATAAATATTACGTTCTTTACGAAAGAGAGATAGCTGACAGATTGATAAAAATAACTATGATTTGGATATGGGCATAAATTTTGGTATGTAGGTATGTTCGCTTCGAATTTTTATTATTTTGCGTCAGCGAGTTCAAATTGAGTATGAATAAGCATAGATCCGAATGGTGTGTTCGGCTTAATCGAGTCATTCGTATGGGCATTTTCGTGAAAGCTTTTGAGCAGCGCAGAAGTGATCCACACACGCCAAGAAGTACTTAAATCAATAATAAAATATAAACTTAATATTTGGACTTTGATAATGTTTAATTATGTTTTTTGATCATTCTTTGCTGCAGAGTTGAGAAAAATACAGAAGTCACAAAAACATATTATATATATATATAAATAAAAATAAAATATATATTTTTTCAATTAGTTACATTTTTATTTATTTATTATATTATATTATACATTATACGTTTACTTACATAATTACATAAATTTATTACGTCATTAGTTATGTTTATATAAAATATTTTTATTATATTATATTATATTTATATATGTATATCTATATATTTATTATTATTATATATTTAAAATATTGTTTTTTTTAATTTTTTTTCAATTTTATATAAAATTACACAAGTAATTTGCCTAAATTTTAAAAACCAAATCTTCACTGTGCATTCATAGTTCGTAGCTTATTAAACTAATGACTTAATTTTATATGTCGTTTTTAATTTTTTTTTTTCAATTAAGGAAAAAATAATACAGTGGGTTAATATATAATAGATACATTCAAGCTTAAACTTAATAACATATAATAATATCAATAATATTTAATAATATTAAGTAAGAGCGCAGAAAACTTGAGATTTTGAGTTATAATACAGTAGATTTCATTTTAAATTTTAGGTTATCGTGCAGAAAGTAAAATCGAAAATGAATGAATTTCGTTTGTTTTCAACCATGGAATGCCAATTTTATTTATTATAACACTTTTTGAGTGAACTTATTTTCGTTAATTAAAGCAAATAAACAAAACTTCATGAACAATAAAGCTCGTTGAAGATTGAGTGATTTCGTTAATTTTGCTGAAAGGTTGAAAGCTCAAAAGCGCAAGTATTTGTGGTGGAGAGTAAAGCTTTGAAATCGATTTATTTACAATTTTGCTTAATTTTTTTTGAATTATTTTTGTTTTTTTTAATAAAAAAATGTTCAATTGTACTTAGCATTTAATTGTTATTAGCACTAAAATATTTATATTCAATATTTGTGTGTTACATATTACTGGGTGGTCCGCGGGAGCGGTGTCCTTGCGCATGTCCGGTTTGTCTAGAGCCAGGACGCGAATGTACAATAGCATAATTGTCGTTATCAATGGGAATCGACCTTCAAGGAATACACAATTTTTAAGCAAACTATTTTTTGTTATTGTATATTGTTTGAAAACAAATATTTCAAAAAAAAATTTGTGAAAAAATAATATTAAAAAAAATATTCAAATATAAATTACGCAACGCAGTTTTTTTAGTATTTATTGTGTGATATGGCTAATTTAGTGATGTTAAGAGTGATATAAATTTGATATAGAATAAAAACAAAACATGAAGAGGTTGCATATTCTGTTGATTTAAAGAAAGTTGAGTGAAAATTTTTACTGACATTACTTACAGTGAGAAATATAATTCTAGTAAAAAAAAAGTGCAAAGAAAAGAAAAACTAATGAAAGAATAATTTGAGGATAAACAATTTAGTAAAAAAATAGAGTAAAAAAACTGAGTGAAACCAATTAAGTTAAAAAATTGAGTTGAAAATGGAGTTAGAAATTTAGTAAAAATTTTTTGAAACAAAAATATAATACAATTAAGCAAAAAAAATGTAACATAAAAATTTACGAAAATAATTGTTCTAAAAAATTTTTGGATTTTAAAAATTATAAGCGCGTAGAACAAGAAGAGCACTTATATAATTGAAATTGTTTAAAGAATGTATATGTATATATATAGAATATTACATAGTTAGTTACAACACATACTTTTCTACATACGATTTTATATCGAACGATTTGTGTTATCTTGGATTAACAATATTTTTACTTATTTTTGTTTTTTTTTGTTTTACTTTAGTATTTGTACTCTAATATTAGTTGTTAAACAGTTAACTAATTACATTTATTAACACATACACATACAACTAAACATATATTGTGGCATACATATATACTAGTTTTATGGTTTTTCACTGTACTGTACGATGTTCCGTGGTACGAGTATATATTTATATGTATGTGTTGCTTGTCGGTGGCCGAAAGTGGGCAGTGACGATTTTCCAAAATTTATTAAAAAAACAAATATGTAACCAAAATTTTTATATATATATTTTTTTTAATTTTAAGTAGTTGTGGTCGGGCATGCATTCCACAAATTCCTTGTTGTTGTTGTTTACTTGTTGTTTTTGTTTTCTACTTTGTTTTTGCCTCTGTCATCTAGTGTAGTTTAACACATAACTAGCACATAAACATAAACATTTAAATATTATTTAATGCATTATTAATTTGTTTTTGTTTTTGTTTTTTTTTTTTAATTTTCCAATTATTATTTTTCTATTGTTCTTTTGTTTTGTTTTTGTTTTTGTGTATAAAATTTGTGCCAACTTAATATCTATCAGACCTATTCGAGTGTATCGTCGAGCCACCGCTTGTGTAGCCTTTATGCGCATCACGCCCATGCAGTGAGTAACGCGATCCATACTGGCTACCATGCCAACTTCTGTACGGATCGTATTCTTCAATGATAGATGGTTCTTTTTCGATGATCTAGTTTAGTTACAATATTCACAAGGAAGGCAGGAAGAGAGACAATGATACACATTGGTTAAATTCGAATTATTCAATGGATGATTTTCATATTAGCGAGGGTTAGTTTTGATAATTACCTCGGTGTTCGCACAACTACAACTCATTGCGGTGCAGAGGAATATGTTCATCAGCAGCATAATAAGGAAGAGCACGCCAAGTGTGATGGCCAGCCAGAGGAGCCATGGTGGATGAATTTTATCCTCGCAATCGCCGGTGATCACTAAACAAATAAAAAAACAACAAAAGTTGGTGTAAAAATTTTAAATATTTAATGCGGCGTATAACAACTTGATAACAAAAAATTTTTAAAATTTCATGCGACCTTTAAAAAATTTTAATTAATTGTTTATTTCACACTTACATGGCGCCTTTGCTGGATCCAGCACAAATACTGTCGTGCCTGCCAAACTGGAACCCTCTTCGTTAGCTCCCAGTTTACGATTGCCACCTTTGCTTACACCCCCAGCACCTGCCAATGCGATCTGCTTGCAGTCCTCATCATCCATACAGCGACCATAGCACTGAATCACATCGCATTGTAGATGAACTTCAGAGTCTGCGGAAATTTTTAGAAATTAAAGCGAGGATAATTTATTAAATATTCTAATGTGAAAAAATATTTTTTTTTATCTAAGAAATGGCATAATTGCCCATAGTAGAGAACTAGTGCTGCGTGCCGCATCATGTCATACTATACGGCGCTGAAAACGTGTTTATTCGCGCTAAAAGTTTGTCTTAGACAGTTTTTCGATTGATTGACTCAGTACGTTGTGAGCGCTCGTCAAAGATGGACACCAGCAAAGAGAAAATTCGCTATATTTTACAATTTTGCTTCAATCAAGGCGAAAAAGCAGCCGAAGCGGCTCAAAAAATTAATTTAATTTATGGGCCCGAACGTGGAGCACAAAAGTGGTTTGCTAGGTTCCGTTCCGGTAATTTCGATATCAAAGATGCACCACGCGTCTGGAGACCTGTCGTCGAAAATTGTGATAAAATCATGGAAATCATGGAAACAGACCGTCACTTGAGCGCTTATTTAATTACTGAGGAACTAAAGATAAGCCAGAAAACCGTTTGGAACCATTTTCATAATCTTGAATTCAAAAAGAAGCTCGATGTTTGGGTGCCACACGAACTAACGCAAAAAAACATGATGGACCGAATTTCCATCTGCGAATCGCTGCTGAGCCGCAACAAAATCGAACCGTTTCTGAAGCGGATTGTGACTAGCGATGTAAAATGGGTCAATTACGACAGCATCGAGCACAAACGGTCGTAGTCAAAGCTCGGGGAAGCGGCCCAGACGGTGGCCAAGACCAAATTGACGTCCAGGAAGGGTTTGCTGTGTGTTTGGTGGGATAGGCAAGGAATCATCTACTACGAGCTGCTCCCCTATGGCCAAACACTCAATTCGGCCCTCTACTGCCAACAAATGGACCTCTTGAAGGCAGCATTCATTCAGAAGAGGCCATCTTTGATCAAGAGAGGCCGAATTGTGTTACATCAGGACAACGCCAGACCACACACGTCTTTGGTGACGCGCCAGAAGCTCCAGGAGCTCGGATAGGAGGTCCTAATGCACCCACCTTATAGTTCGGACCTGGCACCAAGTGATTACCATCTCTTCCTGTCCATGACTCTCCGAGTTTTTTGCCAATAGGGAGGCAGCCTTCTGGGAGAGGAATATAATGAAGTTGGCAACAAGTTTACAAAAAAAAACAGTGCATATTTGACATAAATCGGACAAATGTACACAAAGTTTTGAAAAATCAATAAAAAACCGAACGAATCTTTTACTTCACCAATATATGATCAGATACGAGTATAAAAAGTTGCAATCACAACAGGCAGCTAGGTATAGTAGAACTGTGGGACGGCATTTCAAACACCCCACAGCTGCAAACGAAATAAATACCGAGAGCTGGAGAGCTAAAGAGGTAAACAAAACGAAGTTTGATGCAAAAAAAGAGGCTTAAATGTGTGAGTATGAAGAGCTTGAAAAGCTGGCCGACAAGGGCAATGGCCAAAGTTCCATGAAAGGTACGGCGACTTATAGAAGGTTTCAAGGCAGATCAAAGAAAACTATTGTTGTACCCGTTTCCCCAATCGAGGAAAATACTTTGAGTTCATCAAAAAATCATAACCGGTGACTCTCAAAATGTTTTATATTTACCGAAAAAAAATAGTAGTCATTTCAGTATTTTTCGTGGTACTTTTAGATCTTCAAGCCCATTTGGGCCGAGCGTGTCATTTTGCAATCGCCTTTCGCTAGTTTCAAGTCGTTTTTCAGGCAATAAACGTCTCAAACGCATTATTTCTAACGTTCCACAGCAATGGTTTCTCCTAGTTCTGTTAGCTCATAGTTCATCAGACCCGTCTGGTCTCATCAGCATGCTCTAAAATCATCACTTTTAAATCGTCGAAACCATTCTGCTGACGCAGATTCAGCATAAACTTCCACAAGCATTTGATGATTATGAAAAGTCTTTATTTCATATCAGAAATACATTCGGAGGAGTTGACATGCACTGCGGAGGGGCGACCGCAATTATAAAATTAAACTTAAATTTTTTTTATTAATTTTCTATAACTTTTGAGCCCTGGCCTGGTTTTAAAACTCACCTTCCGGAAATTTGAACATTGACTTAAGTACGGCCTCAGCGCTGTGACCATCGGGGCTGGGAGTAAATTGTGAAATTATACCTTCATCAACGGGGCAGCTGTCATGGAAAATTAAAATAATAAATATTATGAACATTTAATATTTATTGAAAAATATTACAAATATAAAAATATACATATTTTTATTAATTCCAAAAAAAATGCAATATCATAAAATACAAACTGCAACTTACCCTCGCTCATCAATTAACGCAATACTAATATTCTTCTTATCAAAAGCAAAACAATTCGCCACTCGAATACCATAAGTACCTGCGAAAAGAGGAAGAGGAAGGAAGAAAATTACAGATTTACGCATCGAAAGTACTCTAATAGCGTTAACCGTTATAATGTAAAGTGTGGTGTGGGGAGGAATTTAAAGTGATATTACACAATTTAATTACCATTTGGCTTCGTTAATTCAGCGCGTATTTTATACTCATGACCATAAACCGTTTCACGTACACGACGATCGTTCTCCAGGAACTTTAAGATGACATGTGAGTTGTCATCGCTGGTAGAAGAAAGAGAAGAAGAAGAAGAAAATGTTTAAAAAAATTATTAAGCCAGAAGAAATGCGCCTACATTTTAGAATTACCAATTTTACGAGCAAAACTTTTACTACGGTGACAATCATAAAACTAACTTTGAGGTAGCAGTGAGGTTAGAGAGAGCGGAGAGCCATGTAAACACTCTTTTTTATGGTTAGATGGTTAGAACTATAGCTTTCGTGTTTAAACGCTTATGAAATAGCAAGCGATTGCAACTAGTAATTAAATATATGTACGATGTAACAATTTTTGAGCTGCTCATGCTTTCTTGTTCGTTTGGCGGTGACAAAACAGCGTTAGAATTATATAATATTTGTTCATTGAAAACGAGAACGCAGCGAGTTTAACGCACTTTAATGCTACGTAATAAATACACACAAACTTAAATACATACATAAATGCATACATGCATACATACAAACATTCAATTGCATTTTTGCTTGGCTGTAAGCTAATAAAAGTTGCGGAAGAGCGCATCATAACAAAAAAAAAAAAATAGTACACATAAAAATATGAAAGCTTATAAAGAAATAATATGCAAAAAAGAGGAAACAAGAAAATGAAAAATGAAAACACGCTTGCGGAAATGCGCCAATGCAAGCAAATACATAAAATAACACAATGCAACGGCATCGCCTCCGCTGTTGGCGCATTTTACCTATTTAACAGAGCATAAAATTTTTATGAAATTTGTTATTATTAAATTTTTAAACATTTTTACTTTTCAAAAGTACTCTTCAAAAGTTAACGCACGCTTGCGTGTGCGGCTGTTAAATAAAAATTGAAATTGAAATTACTTTTGTACCAAACAAAAACCAAAACAAAAGACTTATGTAACGAACCTGCCAGCCATTGTTGTTGTAATTGTTACTCCACTTGAGCGTCGAAAGATCTGAATATACGATTAGTTTCATAAATGGATTTTTCACTCGATTTCTGTAAGCAAATGTGGAAATCATTCTCAACGCTTCTGTAGGGTCGTCTTCATAAAAGGTATCAATTGGTGGATGGAATAGGTTAAATTCTTGATAAAATCAAATGAGCATACAACGTGTAGTGGACCAAACAAACAAAGAGCAAATCATACAGCGGATACCAAACTACGTATTAATAATAAAATAGATCCAAAAATAAAGCCAAAGAAGCTGAGCTGGAATATCAAATTATTTTATCAGGGAAAGTGTTAAATTTGAAAACTTTCCCAATGGAAACGTGGAAGCTTTTCGATTGAGGATACAGAAGTTTATCAGCTTTAAGAGGTTACAGAGGACTTGAAGGCCAAAAAAAGCTTATTTTCTCCAATTTTTGTAAAAGATATTAAATAAAGTATACAATTTATTTTGTGTACAATGTGTGGACAACATTTGATGAAAATTTGAGTGAAAAATAGTGTAAGTTAAGGCGTTGGCAGTGTCGTGAAGTAGACCGTCCACAAGAAAGTGCTTCCGCGGTAGTCTTGATAAATTTTTTACTTTTTATCTGAAATCAAAAATCCTAATTTTTTCTTAAAATAGGTGAATTTTCCTTGTCCCTGAAGAAAAATTTAAAAAAAAATAAATAAATATTGAATTTCATGTTGCGTTTTTCTACAAAAAACGTCATTTTTGATTAAAAATAGGCCACATATTGGCTTGTAAAACGAGTTGAAATCAAAGATAAAATAAATCCTTCGTTGAGGGACTACAAAAACATGCTTAAAAGAAGTGTGAAAAATTGGAACTCAATCGCTTCAATAGTCGTTGAGAAAGTTGTGACTACCGATTTCGATAAAGTGGTTTTAGGAAAAACGCCGTCTTGCCTGTCGCCATCGGTCACGCGATGACAAGGACGGCGGGTAAAACTCTTTAATTCCTACAGTTTCGTCTCGATCGACTTGAAACTTGGGGAAAATACTCCTGACACTTCGTACTTTAATACAAAAAATTATCAAAAAAATTAATTTTTTGCAGTTTGAAGTCGAATCGGGTGGACTTATGACTGAAATATTTGTATAGAGAATTTTCGAGACATTTTTCTATAAAAGGAGCAAAAATATTTATTAGACATAGCATTTCTTTTGGAGCATTAAATGATCCATAGAAGCAGTATACGCGATGGAAAGCGTAAAATTTATCAATGCAGCTTATTTATCAACACCTTAATGCGTACATTTAGAGGTGAAATTAGAATATGAAATTTTGGATTTTTAGTTAATAACTCAATTTTCGAATAACATAACTAAAAAATGAGTACTTTCTGTCTCGAGAACTTTCTGTCGAAAAAGCCAGTATTCGGATGGAGCAAGGCCTGAAGAAATACCAATTCATCATTTCCAAATAGTATTTGACCATGACGACCGCGTTGTCAAGTTTGAAAATCACCTTGTCAGGCCTTTCGGTTGTTTCTGGCCATTTTTTACCCAATACACGGCTCCAAGGCATTATTTGTTCTGTGTCGCATCAATGGCACACGCGTTTAGCCCCACCACGATGGTATTTTCATTCAACGCTAAAATCACCACTTTTGAAACGCCATTACCTCTTTCTGTATAACTCATTGGTCGTCACAGATTCACTATAAACTTTCAAAAGGCTTCGATGGAAATAGAAAATCGAAATTTCCTGCAAATTCAGAAACAGCCGCTGATGGATACAAATAAGTGTTGGCTGGTGTGCGACCGATCCAATGGAATAAGTAACCATAACGAAGATCAGCCACAGCTTGCTGGTGGAAACATTTTTTGAGAATGGACTACAAAATAGTCTCCCAAAAAATATATACATTATATATTGAGTGTATTAAAAAGAAATCCAATTTTTTTGCATTTAATTGAAGACAATAATTTTTACTTTTCGTATCCAGCCTTATTCAAATGATTCCAAACTCTTTTTCGTGCAAACTTTAGCTCTTGGGCAATCGAAATATTACTTACATGATGATCGGTCCCGACAAAATCCACGATTTGATCGACATTTTCGACCACTCCGTGAAGCATCTTTCAGATAAAAGTTACTGAAATGAAACCGAAATTGTGCATGACTGACTTTAACAGTATCTGGACCATAAACGCTATTCCCATTTTTAACCGTTTGGCTTGCGTTTTCGTAGTTATCGAAGAAAAACTGTATAATATAGCGTATTTTGTCCATCTTCGACGCGCGCTTAAACAAAACTGAATCGATTACTCACGGCAATGTCAGAAAGGCTTTTTATTGTACAAAATGTCATCTTTCTAACGACGTCTAGCGGAACTTGAACGGACTTATAGAACGCGAAATACAGATAAATAACGCCATCTATTGGGAATATAATGGATTATTTTTTACTATACCTAATATATATATATATATATACATATTTTTTTCAAATGTAATAGCCTTGGGAAAAAATTACTCTGAATCCGATTAATTTGCGAGATCAGCAAATATTTTTTTTATATACAAACGTAAGCAAAGAATTTCTACTATCAAATAGAAAGCGCAGCTCATCAAAAACAACACTGTTAGTCATGGGACACATTCAGACATATACTCGTAATTAACATACCAAAACATACATTGTAGAAATTGATTGGCCTTGGATATTATTATTGCTCCTTTTCTTTGTTAAAATATTTCGTTGCCAAATTCTTTTTTATTCTTCATAATTTTTTTTTTTCAATTCTTTTTTATTCATAACAAACGGAACAACTCTACCTCAACGCCCGCACACTTATGCGCATATGTGTAGGTGTAAATTTATAGGTTCTTATATAGTAAATATATTTATAATATATATAAAAAGTTAAAAGTTAATGCCAAGCATACCCATATACACATACACAAGTATATTGCACTTACTGTGTGAAGGTGTTTGATTATGTTTGGTGTTGAACTTTTTCATTGTTTGTTGTACTACATACCAACAGTGATTTGTTTAGAGCGGCTCAGAGTAATATATAAATGTACTTATGTATGTTGTAGCATTTGTAAGCAATAAATAAGTCATTTTTGTGTCAGCAGTAAGCCCACACGCTTTTGATAAACCAGATATTTTATTTTTTATTTCTCTTTTTTACCCACTTCAAGTGAGCCAAATTGAGTTCTTGTGGATTTATAATCTTAATAAAATTTGCTACAGCTTTTGATTTGTTTGAAATAGTTTTGTAAAGAAAAATTTTTAATTATTGAATTATTATTATTTTTTTTAAAGAAATAATTGTCAATGATATTGAAAAAATAACAACAAAAATTACCTGCTTATTAAAACAGTGGAAACTTTGCAATGAATGCATTTATTTATAATTTTTTGTATTCACGTATATTTGCAGATCATGATCATGACTTGAATATATTAATTCAATAAAGCCCGATAATTTGGAATAATTAAAATTGCATCATATTATTTTTAATAAAATCTAAAATATTTTTGAATTTTAAATATAAATAATTTATTGATGAAACAATGCTTGGACAATAATATTATTTTGATAATTTTATATAATGCCGGGATCATTAAAAGAGAAAACAATAATGCAAATGTTGAAAATTTTAAAGAAACTCTTTAAGCAACAAGCCCGAAGTGATCATATTTAACGAAGATTGCGGTAAAAAAAGATTATTTTTTGAAAGAGTTACAATCCCTTGAGAGTTTAAGTCTATTTAAATGAATAAGAATTAGAAAAACGTCAACCCGAAGTAATTTTTTGACTGGGCTTGCTATATGCTTGTTTATTTTATATTTAATTTTTATCAGTTATGTATTTGAGACCTTAAAAATGCTTTAAAAATTTAGCAAAACCCGAGAGAGTATAAAAAATTAAGTTTAAATATTAAACCTAATAGACGAATATGACTGGTAGAAAGAGTGAATTCTTTTTTAAAAAATAACATAACTTTAATTATTTATATTAATAATCTAGTAAAATATGAAAAAATGTGTTTCAAATTATCAGTGATGTTACATATCTCGGTATAAACTTAGATAGACGTCTCACTTGGAAGAGACACATAGAGGCAAAAATACTTCACATGAAATTAAAAGCAGCTAGGTTAAATTGGCTTTTAAATAAAAACTCCGGTCAAAAACTAGACTACAAAGTCCTTTTTTACAACGCAGTCTTAAAACCAATTTGGATGTATGGTATTCAACTGTGGGGTACGACTTGTGCAACTAATATCGATAAAATACAGATGTTCCAGTCCAAAATTTTAAGAGCACTAACGGGCGCACCATGGTACGTTCGTAACGTTAACATTCATCAAGACCTTGGTATTTTACTGGTTAAGCCTGAAATTGAAAGAGCAGGACGAAGTACTTCACAAAGCTAAAAAATCATCCAAATCCGCTAGATAATACCCGCCTGCAGCGAAGAGATGTTCCCGCCTTCTAAGGAGAACGTCGTAGTTTGAAAAAGGCTCAGAGTAAAATAACTCAAGCTATCATGTTTGTAATTTAGTTTTTAAGATTTGTACACTTACTGTTAGGCTTATATTATAGCAGATCCAGTAAATAAATGAATTCTGTATAAAAAAAAAATTATCAGCTAACGTCTGCAACATTCCCGTGCCGGATTTAGAATCGTTTACTCAGTGTACAATTGTTTTTAAGATTACTATTGATAACTTTAAAACTGTTTCAAATTTTTAAAAATTCCTACGTTTTAAAATTAAAAAAAGAAATCAACTATTTTAGCAGAGCAAGGTTTCGATCCTCGGACCTCTGGGTTATGGGCCCAGCACGCTTCCACTGCGCCACTCTGCTGTTACAAGTAGTTAGTTTTGTCTACATACCAATTAACCCCTAAATGTATGCATGCGTACATACATATAATATGTCCGGTCGGTAATCTTAATTTTTCAAAATTACTAACATACGAAAAAAGTAATATTTTACTATCTTACTAGTGGAAAAAAGGTAAGTTTTTGATTCTTTACTGTGCGTCCATTTTTGCACGTGACCAAGAAGATGCAAGAAAGTTTTTAAGGCTTTAAAAATTTGGTAAAAAAAATAAGCGTATTATTTTATTATTTTTATTTATTATTTTTCTCTGTGTGTTTTTCAATAAGTGCAAGATTATTTCGATTTTTTAAAACTCGCCGCCATCATATCTGATCATCATCTGACAAAAGACTTATTAACATTAATTGGGAATTATAAATATTTACACATGCATGTTTGTATGCGCAAAAATTATGTAACTATGTAACACTTAATGGTGGCCACTTAAGGGTGGACACTTAAGGGTGAGCAAATACACAGCAGAGTGGCGCAGTGGAAGCGTGCTGGGCCCATAACCCAGAGGTCCGAGGATCGAAACCTTGTTCTGCTAATCTGTTGATTTTTTTGAACTTAGATTTTTCTAGTAATTAAATATATGTATGCATTAAAATTTTTAAATATGCAGTCACTTTGGCAACCTTCATCAGAATTTAAACTCGATATTAAATATTGTCGGCCACAATATACGATTTTTTTCTACTTTTCGGAAGACCAAGGTACGAGTCCTGGTCTGCCGAGCATTCAAAATTGTTAAAAAATAAATTAAGTTAGTTTTTAAAATATGCGGTCGCCACTCGCCCGGGAATGTCTTGGATGTATTTCTAACATAAAGTAGTAGTTTCCAATAAACATCCATTGACCGTTTGGAGGCAGCTAAGAGAACTTGGTACAAAGTGCCAGTTATATATATTTAAACATTTGCGTTCTGCTGGCAAGCATATTGAAAATATGAAACCTTACACTTTTATTCAGTTTTAGCTCAAAACTTAGTTATGAGCATTTAAAAAATAACTCAAATAAACAGCACTAACTAAGCTACCATATATCATGGCAATAATGCATGTTATGTATGTCCAGCCTAAAATATTTTAAACAAAAGTTCAACGTTTTAGTATGTGAGCGCCTGAAGTTGCCAAAATATTTAACAAAACGTTCAGCAGAAGGTAAAGTAAATTTGTTTCATTTGCTCTAGAAGTAACTAGATCAGATAAGCGTAATGGATAACAACTCGAATAAATGAGCCATTTCTGTTTTATTTAGTTTAATTATTTATGAGTATTTTTTTATTCAGTTTTTTTATGTTACTTTATTTTGTTCTACTTTAATTAACTTTATTTTTTTATCTTCTTTTATTTAATTTTTTAATTTAGTTTAAATTAATTCAATTAAATTTTTTAAATACAATTTAATTTTGTTAAAATTTAGGATTTCTTTACTTTAATTTATTAAAATCTTATTTTGCTTTATTTACTTATTTTCTTTTTTGTATTTTATTTTAAGATATTTAATTTGTTTCATTATTGATAATTAAAATCATATTTCATTTTAATTTACAATAATTCACCTTAACTTAATTTGCATTAATTAATTTTTATTTGACTAATTTAATGCAAATCATTTTGATATAGTTCACTATTATTTTTATTGAATTTATATGATTTTTTTTATTTTATTTTGTTTAATTTTAATTCCTTCTTTAATTTATTATTTTTAATTTTTAGCTTTTGTTTCATTTTATTTTATTTATTTATTTCTCTTTTTAATTTTATTTTTTGACATTTCACTTATTTTATTTTAATTTAATCCATATTAATTTCAATTACATTAATTTATTTTTATTTAATTAATGCAATGGAAATATTATATATTAATATACTTTACATTTATTTCTATTGCAATTTTGTAGAATTTATTTTTTATTCTAATTCCTTCCTTAGCTTAGTTAATTTTAATTTTTTTTGTTATTTTAGGATATTTCACTTATTTCATTATCAATAACTAAATTCATATCCCATTTTAATATAATTCACTTTAATTTAACTAACATGAATTTATTTTTATTGACTTTATTTATCACTTTAAAATTATTTAATTTTATTTTTATTGCATTTATAAAATTTGAATTCGTTTAAATTTATTAGCTTTTATTTTAATTTCTTTTAGTTTATTTTAAATTAATTTTATTAATATTTTTATTTACTTTATTTGAAGCAAATCACCATAATATATTTTGCTGTTATTTTTATTGCATTTATGTAGTTTTTTTAATTCTTTATATAATTTTATTTTACTTTTAATAATTTTATTTTAATGCGATCTATACTTTAATTTATTTAACTTTGTTTTGTTTTATGTTATTTATTATTTATTTATTTTCTTTTTTTTATACTTTTCATAACTTAATATTTAATTTAATTTAATAAAATTTTAATATGATTTAATTTTTTTTTTATATACTTTTAATTTAATTTCTTGTATTTCTTACTTTATTTTGTACATTTTTTTAATGTTATTACATTTACTCTATTTTACTTTGCACTGCTTAAATTCATTTGGTTAAATTTTAGTTAACTCATTTATATTTATTTATTTGATAATTCATCATTATTACAGAATATATCCAAAATTATGAATTTATCTAATTTTTTTTATTGTAAAAAAATCATTTATCCATTATTTAAAACTCAAAGTAAAAATATTAAAAGCATTCAAATTGTGTTTAAAGCTTGGAAGACCTCAATATTTTCTTTATATATTTATTCTATATATTTCTATGTGATCTTCTAAGTTTGCTCTTTGGAAATATAAAAAATGAATGCCAATTTTGCTTAACAAAAAAGGAAAGCACAAAAATAATTTATGTGAAATTTCAACGTCTACTCACCGTCCAAAACCAGATTTGCCGCAAGTAATTACATAGAATTTATCATCCGCCAATTCCAGTGTTTTATGCACACGCACCGCCAACTGTATCGAACGTTCTTCAGTACGCTAGAAAGCAAATGAAAAATGATTTTATTAGATTTATTAAAAATTAGCATGAAACGTATATCAGTAAGTTAAAACTACTTAGATTTCAATATTATTTGGTTATAAATATCTAATGTCAATGAACTTTTTTATTAAAATGTTAAAATATTTAACGGGGTTTTGTAGGGCAGTGCGTTATTTTATTTAACGTTAAATTTTCGAATATTTTTTTTTAGTTATATGCGATACTATTTTTAATTTATATACATGTATGTGCGGCGGGTGTGTTAATGAAATGTGAACTTCATTTCGACTTATATTTTAGATGATGAAATTTGGTAAACATTACGAATTTAACTTAATAAAAAGAATGTTAAAAAATTTAATTTTATATAAGAAATAAAAAAGGAAAAAGTTGTAGGATTTCTTAATATCAAATTACTATACATTGACCATTATCAGTATATAAATCTCAGTTAGTTGTGTGCTGCTGGAATACAGGAAAGATAATCAATTTACTCAACTTATAAATGAAGTCCATTTGTTTCAATGAAATATGACTCACGGTAGCTAAAGTAAAATGCCAAAGCATCGATACCATAACAAATTGCAGCTGAAACAACTACCACATTGACCACCTACAATTAATAACTTCCACACACTTTTGTATGCACACATGTTTACATACATACAAAGGTATAAATACATGTGTCTAAATAAATTCTTCAGCTTGCATTTCGTAATCATTCAAATATTTTCTCAATAAAGTACTAGTAGTACGTATGGAAACACACATACATGTTTGTATATACATTTGCACTCTTCTCTAACCACCTGACCATACGGCCAATCATCATTTACACGCCTGCCATTTCCACCATTTGTTTGCATTGCATTCTCAGTTTGTTGCATTTGTGGCACTTTAATTGCGGCATGATGTAATGATAGTAATTTTTCAGAGCACTACCTTTATCATTATCACCATTAAAACAGTACAGATTGTTGTTGGCTTTCTTTTATAAATATGTTTTCTTTATTTATTTCTTTATCATACATATACTCGTATGATGATTCAAAGAAAATTGTGGAAATAGTGAGGGTAAATAGAAAACTGTAATTGAAAAAGCATTTGAGGAAATGTTGTATTTCTTCAAGTGTGACGTTATGGAAGCTCATTTATGTTTACTGAAAATATATATATACGAGTTTGTGTTATATATGCGCATACTTGTCTGCCTGTATGACTTAAATAATTGCTGTAAGCAAAAATTTTAATTTGTAAATTTTTATTCTCTTATTTCAACTCCTTATTTAATTTTTTTTATTTATTTAGTTTTCCTTATTCATTTTATAATTTTTTTTTAATTCATTCTTTCTTTCATTTCTATCGTGTTATTTTATTTCTTTATATTTCACCTTATAACACTTATTTTTTCATTTAATTTTAGTTTATTTTATGCAATTAAAATTTTTTACTTATTGATTTTATTTTATTTTATATTAATTTTTTGGCATACTTTATTTAATTGTATTATACTATAATTGATATAATTTAAGTAATTTAAGTTTTTAGTTTATATAATTTCCTTTTATATTATTCTTTCTCAATTTTTTTTATTTATTTTCTTAACTTACAATTTCAGAATTTATTTTTTATTTAAATTTTTTAATTTCATTTTACTTTATTTATTTATTTTATTTTATTTTTTTATTTTATTTTGTTTCATTTTATATTATTTTATTTTACTTTACTCTATTTTATTCCATTTTACCTTATTTTATTTTATATATTTTTTTTTCAATATTATTTTTCCCTTTATTTTAATTTAATTATTTTTTTGTTTTTATTTCTGTTTATTTTTTACTTAATTTGGTTTTTCTTTTTTATTTATTTATTTTTCATAATTTAATTTAGTTTATTTTAATTTTTTTTATTTGATTTTATTTTATCTCTTACCATTAAATTCATTTTAACCTATTTTTTTTATTTATATATTTTTTATTTTGTTTCATTATATTATATTTATTATTATTATTATTATTTTTAATTTATTTAATTTTTTTCTCTTATTTAATTTATTAAACTTAATTTTATTTATTGACTTTTGTTTAATATAATTTTATCCTATTTTTTTCCTTGTATTTAATTTTATTCTTTTCTGTTTTACAATAATTATTATGGCTTATTTCATACTAATTTATTTATATTTGGTAAATTTCCTTTTCTGTACTTTATTTAATTTTTTTATTTCGCTTTATAATTTTATTGTTTTTTATTCATTTTTTTTAAATCTATTTTTTTTTAATTAATAGGATTTCATTTGTTTAATTTCATTATATTTTAATTTGTTTTATCTTTATTTTAATTGTTTGTTATTATTTATTTTATTCTATTTCATTTATTTTATAAGCTATTTAAATTTATTTAATTTAAGTTTATTTTTTTTATTATATTTCATTTATTTTTTAAGTTATTTAAATTTGTTTAATTTAAGTTTATTTTATTATATTTGTTAACTTATTTTATTTTCCTTAAATTAAATTCTTTAAATTTCAAATTATTAATTTAAATCTTTTATATTTTAATTTTTATAGATTTAATTTTATTTGAATTTCCTTTTTTTGATTCATTTAACTTAGTTTTATTTTCTTAATTTTGTTCTATTTTATTGCAATTTGTTTAATTTTTTTATTTAATTTTATATTGTTATTTTTTATTTTTGTTTGTCTTGTTTTTTATAGAATTTTTTTTTATTTTTTTTTTGTTTTTATTAATGTTAAATAAGTAGTAAGTAAATAGTGCATAAGCTCTCCAGAATGAGCTTTTTTGGACTGAATTATTTCTCATTGATATTAATATTTAGTGAATATGTGCATAATAAGTTAATTGTAATAATTTATATTGCTTACTAATTTGTTAAACTAGTTATCTACAGTTTATGGTTATAATTAATAAATTAGCGGATTCGCTTTGATTATTACAACAACTGCTTATTTAAAAACCATTGCATTGTTTAAGAATTTTTTACTTACATAAATGTTGCTATTGACCAACTACAACTAATACAAAACAAACTTTAATATATATGCGTAACTTTTTTTCGCAATTTTGCGGCAATATTGATAATTATTTTTTAAACTGCATGAAAACACATTTGTGTCAAGTAAATAAAAGCAAAAAAAATGTATACGTATTTTTTTTAATTTTTTATTTATTTACTCGAAGTTGTACTGCATCATTGGCGCTGATAATTATCGCAAAGCTAACTGATGACTGCATTACAACCATGATAATGATGATAATAACGACGATGATGATAACTGCTGATGAGCTCATAGCAAAAAAGAAAAAATTATGGTTGACGACAATATTACAATAAAGTTATTTAGGTAACAATAAATTGCAATATCCACACAGTTTACAGTCTCAGTTGAGTAGGTTGTGGATATGGCAAGAAAAAAGAAGAGGAAAAAAAAGAAGCGCAAGTTTTGACAAAAGAAAAAACGAAATTGAAAATTCAATGTATAATAAAAAACAAAAAAAAAAAACGAATAGCATGAAGAGATAATTACTAAAACGTTTGCGGTTGTGGTTGTGAATTATTAGCAAAATACTTTTCGCTTCTAATTATTGGCAGGTAAAAAGGCAATAAAACATTAAATGAAAATACAAAATTTATACGTATTGCACTGCAAGCAACATAACTTGTGTTTGACGTTCGTTTGCTAATTTTATATATAATATATTTTTTTTTACATATAATAAAAGTGCTTATTGGTTAAGGTGCAACTTTTATTTAAGCCCACATAATATTTTTTAATTATAAATACCTTACTTAAAAAAACTATTATTTAACAACAACTTATTAATTCAAGACCATCACAAAAAATAGCTAATTTGCGTTCAACGTTCAGGGTTTTATATTCAAAACATAAACCCACATTTGATGCGACGCCAACATGTGCTCTATGCATGTGTATATAAGTAAACACGTACATAATAAATATGTAAGAAAATATGCATATTATTGCATTAATGTTATTGTAATATTACATTTTGCATATAAAATCTACATTTTTATGTTTTATTTTGTGCTACAAATATTTTGTTTTATTTAATCTTTGTTTACATAATTAAAAAAAAATGTTCCTAAAATTAATACATCAATCAAAACAAAAATATAACATTTCCAATTAAAATTAACTCCGTATTATAATTGTTTTTATATAATATTAATTTTATTATTAAAATGTAATATTTATTAATTTCGAGTGCTAGTAACCCACTTCAAATAATCTACGGGTCATCCCGAGTCATTTTGAGCTGAATATTTAAATAAAATAAAGATGTTAATTTAATGGCTTCCCCAATACTTCAAATATTCAGTCAACATTTTTAATGGCATCCTCGTTATTTCAAATGTTCAGTTAAAGGATTTCGGTACGCGAAACGGTTCAGTTTATGCTTAAAGTAAATTGGGAAATATTGAAAATTACACACGAATTCGGACGATTTAATTTGCTTTCGAGACAAATTATACAGGGGGTTTGTTGTCGGACAAAACAACTAGCGTCCAGTGCGTTCAAGGAAAATATCAACCCGACACCGGTATGACAGCTTCTATAGTTCAATTGATCTAAGAACTAAAGCCTCATGATCATCCGATGCATTTTCGCTTCCCTCGATGGAACTCAGTTTCACTTGAATGGCTTTGCTTGTTAACAAAATTGTCGCATTCGGGACTCAGATACCCCATAAGTAACCATGGAAAAGCCAAAATATCCTCAATGACTATTTGGTGCTGAAGAAGCATGCTCAGGGATACATTTCCAACATTCATCGGAATGTTAAGGCATTTAAAAAAAAATTTATTTAAAAATATATATTTGTTTTTCTCTTATAGGAATTTTAGTATGAAAATGTTTGAAGGCCCACCCATCACTCCACAACTTGGAAGCTCAATCGTCAATAATGTCGATAAAATGTTTCAGTTTCCCAGCACCTAAATGCACAAAACACA